CACCTGGGATCCCCAAACTGTACCTGGGAACCCCCAAACCCCACCTGGGACCCCCAAACCCCACCTGGGAACCCCCAACCCCATCTGGGACCCCCTCCAAACCCCACCTGGGACCCCCTAAACCCCACCTGGGACCCCCAAACTACACCTGGGATCCCTCAAACCCCACCTGGGACCCCCAAACCCCACCTGGGACCCCCAAACCCCACCTGGGACCCCAAACCCCACCTGGAACCCCCAAACCTCACCTGGGAGTCCCCAAACCCCACCTGGGCCCCCCCAAACCCCACCTGGGACCCCCAAACCCCACCTGGGACCCCCAAACCCCACCTGGAACCCCCAAACCCCACCTGGGACCCCCAAACCCCACCTGGGCCCCTTCAAACCCCATCTGAACCCCAAACCCCACCTGGGACCCCCCAAACCTCACCTGGGACCCCTCAAACCCCACCTGGGCCCCCAAACCCCACCTGGGACCCCCAAACCCCACCTGGGACTCCCCAAACCCACCTGGGGACCCCTCAAACCCCACCTGGGACCCCCAAACCCCACTCTGGGACCCCAAACCCACCTGGGATCCCCAAACCCCACCTGGGCCCACTCAAACCCCACCTGGGACCCCCCAAACCTCACCTGGGACCCCCAAACCCCACCTGGGACTCCTCAAACCCCACTTGGGACCCCCAAACCCCACCTGGGACTCCCAAACCTCACCTGGGCCCCTCAAACCCCACTCTGGGACCCCCAAACCCACCTAGGACTCCCAAACCCCACCTGGGGACCCTCCAAACCTCACCTGGGACCCCCAAACCCCACCTGGGACCCCCAAACCCCACCTGGGCCCCTCAAACCTCACCTGGGACCCCCAAACCCAACCTGGGACCCCCAAACCCCACCTGGGACCCTCCAAACCCCACCTGGGACCCCAAACCCCACCTGGGACCCCCAAACCCCACGTGTCCCCCCTCCCCGCAGGGCGGTGCCCGGTGCTGGAGCAGAAGGAATTTGGGGCCGCGCTCCGGGACGAGCCGTGTGGAAGGAAACGGCCCTGGCATGCTGGGCTCTGCAGGTGGGGCTGGGGTCCCTGGGGTCCCTGGGGTCCCTGGAGGCACTTGGGGGCACTGGGAGGGATTTGGGGGAAATGGGGCTGGGGGACTTGGGGGTCCCTGTAGGTCACTGTGGGGTCACTTAGAGGGGGTCCCTGCGCCATCTGGGGGTCTGGGGTCTCTCTGGGGCACTTGGGGGCACTAGGAGGGATTTGGGGGTGTTCAGGGGGATTTGAGGGGCACTGGGAGAGGATTTGGGGTGCAGGAGGGATTTGGGGGCACTGGAAGGGATTTGGGGTGTTCAGGGGATTTGGGGGCACTGGGAGGGATTTGGGGGTGCAGAGAGATTTGGGGGTGTTCAGGGGGATTTGGGGGCACTGGGAGAGGATTTGGGGGCAGGAGGGATTTGGGGTGTTCAGGGGGTTTGGGGGTGAAATGGGGGCTGGGGGACTTGGGGGTCCCTGCAGGTCACTGTGGGTCACTTAGAGGGAGGTCTGGGGTCCCTGGGGTCGCTTGGGAAGTCCCTGGGGTCATTTGGGGGTCTGGGGGCTCTTGGGGGTCTCTGGGAGGGGATTTGGGAGTGCAGGGGGATTTGGGGGCACTGGGAGGGATTTGGAGGTGTTCAGGGGGATTGGGGTGGGAAATGTGGGGCTAGGGGGACTTGAAGGTCACTGTGGGTCACTTAGAGAGAGGTCTGGGGGGTCCCTGGGGTCGTTTGGGGGTCTGGGGTCTCTGGGGCTCTTGGGGGTCTCTGGAAGGGGATTTGGTGGGTGCAGGGGGGATTTGGGGGCACTGGGAGGGGATTTGGGGGCACTGGGAGGGGTTTTGGGGGCACTGGGGCTTCCTCTGATCCTTGTGTGTCCCCCGGGGGTCCCTCAGTTCCCCTGCCCCCCCCCCTTTTGAGGCAAAAACAGGTAAATCTGGGGAAAAAATGGGGAAGTTTGGGCCACATTTTGGGGAAAATTGGGCAGAAATGGGCAAGTTTGGGGGGAAAATCTTGCAAAAAATGGGGAAATTTGGGGCAAAAATGGTGGGAAATTTTGGGGAAAATTGGGCAGAAATGGGCAAGTTTGGGGGGAAAATCTTGCAAAAAATGGGGAAATTTGGGGCAAAAGTTGTGGAAATTTTGGGGAAAATTGGGCAGAAATGGGCAAGTTTGGGGGGAAAATCTTGCAAAAAATGGGGAAATATGGGGCATAAATTGGGATTTTTTGTGGGAGATTTTGGGGAAAATTGGGCAGAAATGGGGGAAGTTTGGGGGAAAATCTTGCAAAATGGGGAAATTTGGGGCAAAAATGGGGAAGTTTGTGGGAGATTTTGGGGAAAACTGGGCAGAAACAGGGAAGTTCCTGGGGGTCTCTGGGGGTCCCTGTGTCACCGGCGGGTCCTCCCGGCCGCCAGGGGGCACTACAGCGAGTACCTGGTGGGGCTGGTGAACCGGCACGGGCTGGACCCGGCGCCGCTCTATGACCGGGCGGAGCTGCGCGCGGCCGCAGAGCGCCACCTGCCGGCCGGGAGGACCCGGCGCGGCCCCGCCGAGAGCGACGGCGCCTTCGAGCAGCGGCTGCGCCACCTGCTGGAGAGGGAGGCGCCCCTGCGGCCACGCCCCCCCGGCCAGGGACACGCCCCCTTATGCAAATGAAGGGCGCGGGCTGGGGGGTGTGCTGGGCCACGCCTGCTTTTATGCAAATAAAGGTGTGTGATTATTGGAGGTGGAGCCACGCCCCCTTTGTGCAAACAAACCCCATCTACGTCCACCTAATAAACCACGCCCCCTTTTATGCAAATAAAGGTGTGTCTGATTATTGGAGGTGGAGCCACGCCCCCTTTGTGCAAACCCCATCTACGTCCACCTAATAAACCACGCCCCCTTTATGCAAATAAAGGCACCTGTGTCTGGTTATTGGAGGTGGAGCCATGCCCCTTTATGCAAATAGGCACCTGCTTGTCAGAGGTGAAACCACACCCCCTTCTATTCAAATACACTCATTTGTTGGTTGCAGAGCCACGCCCTTTATGCAAATAGGCACCTGCTTGTTGGGGGTGAAGAAGCCACACCCCCTTTTATTCAAATCCACGCATCTGTTGGATTTGGTGGAACCACGCCCCCTTTTATGCAAATAAAGGTGTGTCTGCTTATTGGAGGTGGAGCCACACCCCCTTTTATTCAAACCCATGCAGTTGGTGGTTGCAGAGCCACGCCCCCTTTTATTTAAATGAAGGTATTCTGTGTCTGCTTATTAGAGGTGGAACCACGCCCCCTTTGTGCAAACACCCTCCATCTACGTCCACCTGAGAAGCCACACCCCCTTTTATGCAAATAGGCATCTGCTTGTCGATTGTGAAGCCACACCCCCTTTTATTTAAATACACTCATTTGTTGGTTGCAGAACCACGCCCCTTTTATGCAAATAAAGGCATCTGTGCCTGCTTATTGGAGGTGGAGCCACACCCCCTTTGTGCAAACTCCGCCTATGTCCACCTGAGAAGCCACGCCCCCTTTTATGCAAATAGGTAACAGCTTGTTTGAGGTGAAGCCACGCCCCCTTTTATGCAAATATACATGTGTTTGTCAGAGGTGAAGCCACACCCACTTCATTCAAATACACTCATTTGTTGGTTGCAGAGCCACGCCCCCTTTTATGCAAATAGAACCCACATAAATCCACCTGTTTGATGAGCCACGCCCCCTTTTATGCAAATGAAGGCCACATATGGGCACCTCCCACTGTAGGGTGGGAAGAGCCAAAAAAACCTGGGACACTCTGGCACCTCCTGGGATCGGGGGGACACCTCAGGGACCAAGGAACCCTGGGATAATGCCTGATCCTGGAATTCAGGGACACTGTGACACCTCAGGGACCAAGGAATCCTGGGATAATGCCTGATCCTGGAATTCAGGGACACTGTGACACCTCAGGGACCAAGGAATCCTGGGATAATGCCTGATCCTGGAATTCAGGGACACTGTGACACTCCATGGACACAGAAACCAAGGAATCCTGGGATAATGCCTGATCCTGGAATTCAGGGACACTGTGACACCTCAGGGACACAGAAACCAAGGAATCCTGGGATCCTGCCTGATCCTGGAATTCAGGGACACTGTGACACCTCAGGGACCAAGGAATCCTGGGATAATGCCTGATCCTGGAATTAAAGGACACTGTGGATTTTAGAGGGTTTGGGATTTTCTCAGAGCAGCAAATCCAGGCCTTCTGTTGTTGCTTAAGACAATTAATAGAGTTTAATAACGTTTAAATTTAACAAAACTGAATAAAACTTAAATTTCAGGTCACGTGACTCACGTGCAATGCCATTGCTTACAGCTTAATACAGCTGACATTTAAACAAATACAACTTAATCGAGTAAATATTATTGTACAGTTTAATACAATTGAAATTTAAATAAATACAGCTTAATGCAAGTAAATATTACTATACAACAACATATTATTATCCAACTTTTCAATTAAACACAATTTAAATTCAAATTCATACAACTTATAAATATAACATACATGCAACAAATAAGTATAATTTAATGCAATTTAGGAAATACAATTTAATACAATTAATTTAAAATTTAAGTTAATGAAACTTAAAGTTATTCCAAGTCAATACTATTTAATGCCTTTTAAACTTAATGAGCACAAAGTTAGTACAAGTATATACAATTTAATGGAATTTAGATTTAAATTCATACCACAAGTTAATAGAAATCAATACAATTTAATGCCATTTAAATTTCAATTCATACAACTTAAAGTTAGTGCAAGTAAATACTATTTAATGCCATTTAAATTTAAGCTAATCCAACTAGAATTTATACATAAATACAGTTTAATACAAGTTAAATATAAACGAATACAACTTCAAACGAGTACAAACACAACTGAATGCAATTAGGTTTAAATGAATATGAGAAATGCAAGTAAATATTATTTAATACCATTTAAATTTAAAGTGATACCCCTACAACTTAGACTATTAAATATCACTTAATACGACTTAAACAGAAACGAATGCGACAAAGTTGTATTTTAAAGCTGTAATTTAAAATGAGATTAATTTAAAATGAGCTTATCTATGAAATAGAAACCCACAGCTACAAAATTAACAAACTAACATTAATAAAAATTAACAAAACCCGCACAAAATTAACTATTTACAAGGTCCATGCATCTCCTTTTTGACTCTGTGGCCAAGCTCCGTGGGTCGGGAATGAACATGTTTGTGTTTTCCAGCCTCAGGTATTCCTGTCCCGTTGGAGTCGACTTTTCCAGGGTCAAGCTTTCCATTCCAGGTGTTTGCACCCTTTGGCTCCTCAAGAAATCCTCCTCTCCTTCCCTCAGGTCCTCCTCTATCAGTGCCAGCTGCAATGAAAAACAGGTGGCATCACAAACAAGTCCGTGTCCCCCCCCATTAAAATTTTAAAAACCTTTTCAATTATTTAAAAATTTTTATTTATTTATCATTATTTATTCCGAAAAAAATTCAATTTATTTAGAAATTAATTGCCATTAGAAACAAAACACAGGGAGGCAGCTGCCTGTAGGAGTGGTACCCCACTTTGTAATTATTTTTTTATCTTTATTTCTGTTTGAATTCAATTATTTCGCTGCTGTGGATTAGACACTTCCATTGAAATCTGTACATGGACACAGGAATTTCTCACAGCTCTGTGAATGGAATTGAAAAACAGCCAACTCTGACAAGGAAGGGATGAGGAAATTATTGCCTGGCAAGTTTTTTTCTTGATAAGAAAAGAGAACTGAAGCTCCTGCCATTTAAATGCCAAAAATCACCACGTGGAGAAAAACGAGAGTTCCATGTGGCAAGATGATTTTTTTTTTTTTTTTTTTTCTATAAAGTAAATCAAAAAATGAAGCTCCAAATCAACATCTTTTCCTTTGAATAAAAGAACCAAAATTCGAGGGCCGGTGGAAGATGAGAACACCTGGCCAAAGAATGCTGACACACCAAGGACATAAAGCCAAAACACAGGGAAATAAAGAACATTAAAATGCTAAAAAAAACATTAAAATGCTAAAAAAAACCATTAAAATGCGAACACAAAATGCTAAATAGACATAAAGAAGGGTTCCTTAGGAGAATTAAGGGGTGAAAGAGGGGCCATGAGTCCAAGATCTTGCAGAATTCACCTCCAGGAAGTCAACCAAACACAGAAAGGTGAAGAGTTCACCGAGGAAGACTCAAAAATACACCCCCTTTTGAGGCTGAAGATGCTGAAACGACCACCAGGACAACACCCCATAAAAAGGGCTCCACCCCCAGACCCCTCCTGTTGTGAATATTATGATTAAATATTGCAATAATGCGAATATTCACGTAAAGGTGTTGAAATCTCTCCCCAAAAACTGTATAAATAACGTGACTTTACACGGATAACTTCGGGCCCCTCGATGCTGCTTAAAAATAAACACCTTTTAGCTGCTTTTAAAGACCCCCAAAACTGTCCCTGAGCAGTTTTCATCGAGCCTTTTTGGGGCATCAGTCAAGCCTGTTGACAGCAGGCAGAGTTTCTGTGGGAATCACCTTCCCTCAACACGAGATCCAGGCCCTGGGTGATGGTGGGATCTAAAGAATCAACCTGCCAATTGCATTTGAAGGTGAAATAATTAACAAAAAACCCACAAAAAAGTCCTCATCTGCAGACAGGAACTCAGTGGGGAGTGGTTTCTTCACTCACAACGCAGCAGAGCTGACTGGGGATTAATCCCAGCGTGGCTTCCTCTTGTATTTATACATTTATTTTCAGGAGATCAGCTGTTCATAATGCCACAAAAAAGAGTTTTCTGCTGTGGGGGTGAACTTGCCCTGGGGCTGTTGCTCTTTTTGTCCCCTTTTGTCCCTTTTTCCCCTTTCCCTTCAGGTGGTGTTTGGATTCCCTACGCCGTGTACATAGCAATTTAATTGTATATAACTATAATATACATAAAATATATATATTTTTATATAACTAGCTTGATTTCGAGTTCTTCAATTTTTTTATAGTGTGTTTTTTTTGTTTTATTTCCTAAGAGAAGAAAGGAGGGGGGAAGGGGTTGTTACTGAGAGTTGGAGCATTTGAGAGGGAGCCAGGTCCGAACCATCACAGCTGATCCAAGAGATCCACTGCCATGTGGGGAGTTTGGGAATCTCTGAAGATCCTCCCGGGCTGGCTCTGCTGTGATTGCTCAGCACAGAAATGTGCAGAGAGAACTGGAGGAATCCCTAGTGCCAGCCCCGTTTTGAAGAAGCTGAAATTAAAAAAAACCTTAGGAAAACAGATGGGCTGGCCAAAAAAGCAGGTGGGAAAGGCTCAAAAAGTGCTGATTCCACGGTGCCTGTTTTGGAAAGGCTTGGTCACGTTAACAGCAGCCACTGAGACTCCAGGGCTCTTCTGGAACTGCCCAAATTAAATGTCAGCTTTAACTTTCTCCTGTGGTTAAAAGTGCCCCTCGTATTCTGGGGAGGCTTTGGGTGAGCACAAAGTGTCGTGAGGACGAGGAAAGCGGGTCCTGGGTGACGGGGAAGGGGGTGGAGTGACAGCAGAGGGGATTTACAGGATTTCCAGCAGCTCCTTTAGGGCCATCCAGCGGTGTCTGCACTGCTGGGGGTGTCACCAGGAGCCCCCACCTCGATGATGCTCCCACCTGGAACTGTGGCTTGGCTGTTTATTTTTCCAAAACAAGGCCTGCTATGGCATATTGGGGTGGAAACAACAGTTGCTGATGCAGCTGGTCAGGAGTGACGGCGTTTGCAGAGCAGCGATGGCAAATCCCAGACACGTCCCCGTGGCCTGAGCGTGGACAGAGCTGGGGGAGCGTGGTCTGGTTTCATAAAACACCTCCTTATTGTTTTTTTTTCCTGCTTTTTGAAGAGACAAAGGGCTCAGGGGGGATGTTTCCTTTCCTTCCCAATCAGTTTTGCTGCAGGGTTTTTTTTTTTTTACCTTCTGTATTTTATTCCAGATGCGATCTCCGGTTTTCCCAGCCAGCATGTCCATGGCATCCGCCGTCAGCGACCGCAGCTGTGGCACCGACAGAAATGATCAGTGTGGAATTCACACAGAAATAACTCGCCTGAACACGCAGGTTAAAGGCTAATTAAAAAATAATTTGCGTTTTGGTGATTTTCTGACTTGTCTTCCGTGGGCAACCCGTCTTTGTTCAGCCCTGTTTTATCGTGGGTCTAAAATGCCGCAGTTTTGCCTCACCCCAGTCCCTTCCCAGGTTAGTCCAAGCACTGTCTCATCCTGCACACTTCCCAAACCCTGGGAAATGGTCTGGTTACTCTTAACTGGGTTGGATCCATCACTCTTTGGGAACAAACTGGTGGAAAATGGTATTTGATACTGGTGGGATTGCTGCACACCAGGAGGTCTCTTCCAAAAAAACGTTTGGTTGGTTGAAGAGAACCCAAACGATGCTTTTTGGAGTCTCTTCCCCCCCCAGTTTGTTACTCATTAAAAGTAATTAAGATCCATTGCTAAGAGATCTCCAAGGGCTCACTTTAACAATTTGCAGGATAACAATTTTTATCAACACAAATTGTGACAGATTGTGACAAATTGGGGCAGGTTTGAAGGTTGCTGGTGACAGTGTGCTCCAAAAATATGCTTTAAAGCCACCTACTGACACATTTATTGAGCAATCATAAGTTCTAACATGGAGCAGTCGAATCAATACGCTGTGGGGGAGCACAAGCAAAAAGCTCCGGTGGTAAAAGCAGCATTTAATGCGCACAGAGATTATTTCCTACCCAAGGTGACCCTCTCAGGGGGGTAAAAAGATGGGCTCAGCCTGCTGACTGCTCCCAGCAGCTTTGGTGGAAGCCTTTTCCCCCTTTCCCCCCCTGTTCCCAACTTGCTTTTATGCTGTTTTTATTCTGTTTGGGTGTAGTTTGAGCGCCTCTGTCATCAATACCTTTTATTTCTGATAGGTGTATTTAATGGGAGGGGGGTTGTGGTGGTTTTTTGGCCCCTGAGGAGGGGGTTCCACGTGTTTGTGGCTTCAGCACCAGAACATCTTGCTTGTCCTCTTGTCAGAGAGGCGCTCTGGGTTTTCAGTGTTCTCCCAGTCTGCAGGGATTGGCCTGGAGAGGGGCCAGGTGGTCTCCTCTCCATTCCACTCTCTGTTCTGTTCCCCTGAGCAGATATTTATTATTTTACTGTGGAGCATGTCGACCTCAGCCCATCCAGGGAGCTGCAGCTGCTTTTAAAAATCCTGAATCCCCTCTAGGTTTAACTCCATCCATCATCCCACACTGAGCAAGGAAGAGATTTCCCCCCCCTCCTCTTTTTTACCCAACCCCACTTTAATATCATAATTTTTGGCCTTTTTTGCTCCCACCATTGGCCCCTTCTGGAGCTGGGTTTGCTCAGCCAAGGGCCCAGTCCACGTTTTTCTCAACAGCCTTCGATTCTTCACCAATTTATGGCACCTTTGCAGCGAGTCTGACAAGTTATCAGATTTATTCCAAGACCAGGAGTGTGTGGTGGATGGACCCAGCACAGAGAATTAATTCTTTCCTCTTTTCCCCCCTCTCCTCCTCAGCTCTAACTGGGCTGCAGGTGCCTTTTGAGGTCAGAAAAGTCAAGGGGGCACAATCTGAATGATTACAATCACTGCCCCAGACTGATATGGGGAGGTTTGGGTAAGGGGGGAAAGAAAGGGTTTTAAACAGATGCTGACAAGTGAGTCCTTGAGTTTCTGCTAAAGCTACCCCTGCAGGCGATCAGCACCTCCTCTGACAACGCACTGAAAGGGAGGATTAAAAAATTCCTTCAGGTCCCTCCAGGGGACAAATTCCCTCCGGCCCTTTCCCTCCCCCGGCTCCCAGCCCTGCAAAGGGAATGCTGGAAATCCAAACCTACCAGTCTGTCGTCCTCCTGAGAGACTCTCTGCAGGTAGGGGACGGTGGCCAGCTCGGCCAGGGCTTGGGCCATCACCTGGGACTGTTCGTGCCCTCGGTGCGAGCGGCCGAGCAGAGCGGCGCGCTGGAAGCGCTCGATGGCGCGGGCACAGGGGCTGCGCCTGTCCTGATGGTCAGGGGAAATAAAGGGGTTAGGGGAGAAATTCAGGGGAAAATCCCTCATCCTTGGAGTCCTGTGCCCCAGGGGCTTCTCGTTGTCCTGTTGGCCAGGGGGAAATAAAGGGGTTAGAGGAGAAACTCAGGGAAAAATCCCTCATCCTTGGAGCCCTCCCGTGCCCTGGGGGCTTCTCGTTGTCCTGTTGGCCCGGGAAGAACCAAGAGGTTAGAGGAGAAACTCAGGGAATAACCTCCCCCTGATCCTTGGAGCCCTCCCGTGCCCTGGGGGGTTTCTCATTGTCCTGTTGGATCGGGGGAAATAAAGGGGTAAGAGGAGAAACTCAGGGAAAAATCCCTCATCCTTGGAGCCCTGTGCCCCAGGGGCTTCTCATTGTCCTGTTGGCCCGGGAGAAGTAAAGAATGGTTAGAGGAGAAACTCAGGGAAAAAATCTGTGATCCTTGGAGCCCTCCCGTGCCCCGGGGGCTTCTCGTTATCCTGTTGGTCAGGGGGAAATAAAGAGTTTAGAGGAGAAACTCAGGGAAAAATCCCTTATCCCTGGAGCCCTCCCGTGCTCCCCGGGGATTTCTTGTTGTCCTGTTGGCCCGGGAGAAGTAAAGAATGATTAGAGGAGAAACTCAGGGAAAAAAAATCCCTGATCCTTGGAGTCTTGTGACCCGGGGGCTTCTCGTTGTCCTGTTGGCCCGGGAAGAACCAAGAGGTTAGAGGAGAAACTCAGGGAACAACCTCCCCCTGATCCTTGGAGCCCTCCCGTGCCCTGGGGGGTTTCTCATTGTCCTGTTGGCCCGGGGGAAATAAAGGGGTTAGGGAAGAAACTCAGGGAAAAATCCCTCATCCTTGGAGCCCTGTGCCCCAGGGGCTTCTCGTTGTCCTGTTGGTCAGGGGGAAATAAAGGGGTTAGAGGAGAAACTCAGGGAAAAATCCCTCATCCTTGGAGCCCTCCCGTGCCCTGGGGGCTTCTCGTTGTCCTGTTGGTCAGGGGGAAATAAAGGAGTTAGGGGAGAAACTCAGGGAAAAAAAAATCCCTGATCCCTGGAGCCCTCCCGTGCCCCAGGGGCTTCTCGTTGTCCTGTTGGCCCGGGAAGAACCAAGAGGTTAGAGGAGAAACTCAGGGAACAACCTCCCCCTGATCCTTGGAGCCCTCCCGTGCCCTGAGGGCTTCTCTATGTCCTGTTGGCCCGGGAAAAACAAAGAGGTTAGAGGAGAAACTCAGGGAAAAAAATCCCTGATCCTTGGAGCCCTCCTATGCCCTGGGGGTTTCTCATTGACCTGTGGGCCCGGGAAAATTAAAGAGGTTAGAGGAGAAACTCAGGGAAAAATCCCTGATCCTTGGAACCCTCCCATGCCCCGGGAGCTTCTCATTGACCTGTGGTCCTGGGGAAAAAATAAAGAGGTTAGAGGAGAGGCTCAGGGAAAAATCCCTGATCCTTGGAGCCCTCCCGTGCTCCCCGGGGGTTTCTCATTGTCCTGTTGGCCCGGGAAGAACCAAGAGGTTAGAGGAGAAACTCAGGGAACAACCTCCCCCTGATCCCTGGAGCCCTCCCGTGCCCTGGGGGGCTTCTCGTTGTCCTGTTGGTCAGGGGGAAATAAAGGGGTTAGAGGAGAAACTCAGGGAAAAAATCCCTGATCCCTGGAGCCCTCCCATGCTCCGAGGGCTTCTCGTTGTCCTGTTGGGCCGGGAGAAATAAAGAGTTTAGAGGAGAAACTCAGGGAAAAATCCCTCATCCTTGGAGCCCTCCCGTGCCCCAGGGGCTTCTCGTTTGTCCCAGAAAAGTCAAGAAGTTAGAGGAGAAGCTCAGGGAACAACCTCCCCCTGATCCTTGGAGTCCTGTGCTCCAGGGCTTCCCACTGTCCTGTTGGCCCGGGAGAAGTAAAGAATGGTTAGAGGAGAAACTCAGGGAAAAAATCTGTGATCCTTGGAGCCCTCCCGTGCTCCCCGGGAGGCTTCCTGTTGTCCTGTTGGATCGGGGGAAATAAAGAGTTTAGAGGAGAAACTCAGGGAAAAATCCCTGATCCTTGGAGCCCTCCATGCCCCAGGGCTTCGTTGTCCTGTTGGTCCGGGGAAATAAAGGGGTTAAAGGAGAAACTCAGGAAAAATCCTGATCCTTGGAGCCCTCCCATTGCCCCAGGGATTTCTTGTTGTCCTGTTGGCCCGGGAAGAACCAAGAGGTTAGAGGAGAAACTCAGGGAACAACCTCCCCCTGATCCTTGGAGCCCTCCCGTGCCCTGGGGGGCTTCTCATTGTCCTGTTGGGCAGGGAAATAAAGTTGGGAGAAACCGGGGAAAATCCCTCATCCTTGGAGCCCTGTGCCCCAGGGGCTTCTCATTGTCCTGTTGGTCCGGGGGAAATAAAGGGGTTAAGGGAGAAACTCAGGGAAAAATCCCTGATCCTTGGAGCCCTCCTGTGCTCCCCGGGGGCTTCTCTTTGTCCTGTTGGCCCGGGAGAAATAAAGAATGATTACAGGAGAAACTCAGGGAAAAAAAAATCCTTGGAGCCCTCCTGTGCCCCGGGGGGCTTCTCGTTGTCCTGTTGGATTGGGGGAAATAAAGAATGGTTAGAGGAGAAACTCAGGGAAAAATCCCTGATCCCTGGAGCCCTCCCATGCTCCGAGGGCTTCTCGTTGTCCTGTTGGATAGGGGGAAATAAAAGGGTTAGAGGAGAAACTCAGGGAACAAAAACCCCCTGATCCTTGGAGTCTTGTGACCCGGGGGCTTCTCGCTGTCCTGTTGGCCCGGGAGAAATAAAGACTTTAGAGGAGAAACTCAGGGAAAAATCCCTGATCCCTGGAGCCCTCCCATGCTCCGAGGGCTTCTCGTTGTCCTGTTGGTCCGGGGGAAAATAAAGAGTTTAGAGGAGAAACTCAGGGAAAAATCCCTGATCCTTGGAGCCCTCCCGTGCCCCCCGGGGGGCTTCTCATTGTCCTGTTGGCCCGGGGGAAATAAAGGGGTTAGAGGAGAAACTCAGGGAAAAATCCCTGATCCTCGGAGCCCTCCCGTGCCCTGGGGGTTTCTCGTTGTCCTGTTGGATAGGGGGAAAGAAGTTAGAGGAGAAACTCAGGGAAAAAAATCCCTGATCCTTGGAGTCTTGTGCCCCAGGGGCTTCTCACTGTCCTGTTTGTCCCAGGAAAAGCCAAGAGGTTAGAGGAGAAACTCAGGGGAAAATCCCTGATCCCTGGAGCCCTCCCATGCCCCGGGGGCTTCTTGTTGTCCTGTTGGTCTGGGAAAAATCAAGAGTTTAGAGGAGAAACTCAGAGCTCCTTCTGTAAAGTGCCTGAACCCACGGGAACTCCGTTCCTGTGGAAATTCGTGGAGCATTTCTGGACCACCTGCAGCAGGAATTACACCCCAAAACCACACGTCCTTCCTTACACCCAGAGCTTTGTGTCGCCCCACACCCCAAAGAGAACGTAACTCTCACCTTTATTTTGGTGCTTCCAATAAAATCGAGGACTGCCATGACCTTTTTCCCACCGTTCTCCCAAAATGTTTCTGTTCCCTCCTCCGTGCCGGGGCCAAAAGGCGTTTTCTGGTCTAGGAGGTGAAACCACAGAGCCAGAGAGGTTGTTTTTGTTCATCTCCCTTTTTTTCTCAGAGGATCTGGAGGGATGTTGGTTCAAACTGGGAGGGGAGAGCTCCCTGAGCAGTCAGGGCTGCCAGCACAGAGACACCCCCCACTCTCCTCATTTATTGAGGATTTATCATTTATCAAGGATTTATCATTTATCAAGGATTATTGGGGTCACCCCTGAGCCACCTCAGTTCCTGAGCCAGTTGGCCCACCTGGACAGATCGGCAGCTTTCGAGTTACAGATTTTTCCACGTTTTTTCCAAGCTCTTTGTCTCTGAAGCCCAGGGTTAGTAAGTACTGTTGGTCAGGCAGAGATTCAGCTCCCTCTGGCAACAGGTGAATTCCATAAGGATCTGTGACAGGGAAAGGAAAATGATTTCCACTCTCACATTTCTTTTCGGTTGCAAGAGAAGTTTTGTTGTTTTTTTGTTTTGTTTTGTTTTTGAGATAAATAAGGAAGTCTGAGAAAGAGAAATGTTCTCCAGAAAGCTTCACAGAACCAAGTGACCAAACCAACCCACCCAGCTCTCACTGGGCTTCGAAATTTAGGACTTTACAGCCTTTTGCACCAACAGTTTTGCTGATGCCTGAGATAGAACAGGAGCTCAAGCACCTCAAACTCGTTTGAGCTCAGCCCCACACACAGAGGGCTTAAAAACATGAAACCTGCTGCTACCTGTAAATACGTGCTGCACGTAATCAGGGTGCTTCTCAGCAAAGGTTTCAGTGGCCTCCCTTATTTTGTCAGCCTCGTCCTCGTTCTCAAAAGGTGTGTACAGGACAGAAAAAGACGCTTCTTCACTGAGGGCTTCTTGAATCAGAGCCTAAAGAAAAAAGAGGGCGAAGGAATGAGATGTTTGATGTTGGGTGATGGCTAGTTAAAAAAAAAACAAACAAGGAAAACAATCAGGTGGGCTGGGTAGGGACTCCACAAACCCCTGCCTTCAACGAGGAGACAATTGCTGGATTAATTGCCTTTTAGATGAAAAGAAAAAGTGATTCCGTGCTCTCCGTATCAGGAAGGGTTTAGAAAAAACAGCTCAGGCAACAGCACCCAAAATTAAATTTTACAGCAGCCCATGAAACTAAACCATGATCCAAGGGTTAACAGCCTTGAATTTATCCCTTAAAATCAGTCCAAACAAATCTCCTCCATTTGAAATCCGGGAGGAATGTGATGAAGTCCTGCTGGCTGATGTGCCCGAGAGCCCCCTTTGCAGGTGGTCTTTTGGAGCAGGAATCCCTCCCCCTGCTGATCCCACTGCTGGGACAGACACCCAATTTCTCCAGTTTTTACCTGCCAGTAGAGCTGGATGAGGTCACTGGTGCCCAGCCTGGTGCCCCCTGCCAGGACGTACAGGCAGTCAGCGATCATGGCGCTTCTGAGAGGAATAAGCAGCAGAAATGAGGCAGGGAAGGGGTTGTCTGTGGCCAGATTGAGAGGAGATCAGATTAAAAATGAGTGCAACGTGAGGGTTTGGGGCCAAAAAATCACACAGAGCTCTCAGTTCCTTGCCCAGCTTCAGAGCATCAGGTTAATTTTAGCTCGGTGAACTCTCCACCACCAAACGGCCCCGTCGTGTCCTTTGGGATTATTCACATTCACACCAGCTGGGAGGGCTGGAGCTCTGCTGGAGATCACAGGCACACACACAGAGCCAATCTCCCGAGGGCTGGGAAGGAGAGAAACCCCTGCAAGGGGAGTTTTTACCTGGCGGCTTCCGAGTATCTCCGCAGGCATCGGAAGCAGGCGGCTTGGCGCAGGTGATTGCGGAAATAGGAGGGGTTCTGGATGATGCTCCTTGGGGAGAGAGAGAAGAAGAAGAAGGATGGACAAGGGTTAGGGTGTTGCTCCTCACATCAGCAGAGCTCGTGGGAATCAAGCTGTGGTTGAGGCAAATGCCACGTGCACTTCATTCTCTACAACTCTGCGTCTCAAATATCAATTGGCTCTTTCTCTCTGCCTCCCTCCCCTCCTCTCTCCAGATGGACAAGCATCAGCAAAATTTTCACTGTTGTTTTATCATAAATGCAATTTCATTAGAGTTTTGTGTATTCTAGGAAAAAAAAGCTCCAGGGATAATACTCCCTCTGCCTTTGGTGTGTGGGTAAGGGAAGCCAAAACTGCTGCGAGCACAAGTTCTCGTTAACCCTCAGCTCCCCAGACAGGTGCCTGACCCATCTCCCTGGAAACACTGTGCATGTGGAAGGTATCATAACGTTAATGAGAGATTTTGAAACACCTCCTTGCACAAGGGGTGGGTTCTGTGTTGGGTGAACCTTTGGCAGGTGTGTTTAGACCCTCAGTTCAACAGATGTAACAGATTTCAGGCTTTAAAGGTAATATAATAAATACTGGCATGGTAGAACTGGCAGCAGCTCAGCAGTGAGATTGGCAGATTGGGCAGCTTCTGGTGGGAGGATTCACTGCTCCCACTTCAGAACAGTCCACCTGGCAGAAATGCGGGTTTTGTTCCTGCTGGCTGAGCCCTGGAGGTGCCCCTGACATTCTCTGACCACTCCTGGGCACTCAGCCCCAAAATTGGTGCCTGGGACTGTTCTGAAGGATTCACCCCCTCCCTGTGTCTGGGCTCAGGGGGGCTGCACACAGGAGCTCCTTCCCTTCTGCACCATCAAAGCAGTGGATGTTTACAGGGCTGTTACAACTGGAATCTTCAGTCTGGAGAAATCAGTCCAATCCAAACACCAGTGCAACACTCCAGGTGTGTTTCACTGGTTCCTCTTTTCTCGTTAGAAAATGGTTCTCCCTGCACAGCTCCTATCCCTGGCTTTGTTCAGTCCTGGATTTCAGTCTTAGCAGTGAATTGACTCGAGATTTTGTTTTTCCTTACCTGTGTGAATGACTCAGAGCAATGCCAGGCTGCCCCAGTTTTAAGTAACAGGTGACGAGTTTTGCCTCAATAAAACCGGCAACCCTGGAAATGTCCTCTGGAGAGGACTCCAAGGGGTCCTCCACGGCAAAGCCTCTGCTGCAAAGCTGAAACACGAAACAAAACCATTATTTACAGATGTTATAACACACCATTTGTTAGGTGGAAGTGCTTGTTGTGACTGATCAGTGGAGAAAACTGAAGCACAATGGCCTTAATTAAAGTTAGCATTGAAAAAAAAAATCAGTACAAAGCCCAGAATTGTCCTTCAGGGATGTTCTGGATTTTGCTTCTGAGGAGAGCTGGATTAGGAGACCACTGAGAAGCCCCAGCCCTGCAGTTCTGGGATGTTCCAATCACTCTGTCCACAATCCCAGGAAAGAATTCCTTCATCTCTTGTTACTCTTTCCCCAGTATTTCTATTTGCCAGCCTTTCCATTTCCTCTTAGGATGAGGCAAGTCCTCCTTTCTTCTCGGTGGTTCTGTCCCCTCCACAGCTCATTTCTGAATACAGGGAGCAAAAAAAAAGCACCTAAAAAAGGATGACACTTGCTAATTTTACTCACTCACTGCTATAAAAGTTCTTGCAAAGCTGGCAGCAGCAGGAGGGAGAAGTTTGAAGGGGGGAGCTGCTCCTCCCCTCTCTCTTACTCTCTTTCTCTCTCCCTTCAGCAGGGAAAAGACTGAAAAATAAATTCCTGCCACCTGTGGAAGATTATTGGGGTGAGGAGACCCCCGTGCAGCTCGTAGAGGAGCTTACACTGAAGTAAGAGGGTGCAAGAGGAAGCTGAGACTTCATGAGAAGGCCTGAAACAAAACAGAGTCCTGCTGGAGGCTTCTAGGCCATGGAGAGACTTCTGCTGGAGCAGAACGACTCAGGTGAGATGTTGGGATCCCAGTGAGGGATCCATGCTGGAGTTGGAGATTTGTGACCCTGAGCTGGGATCCCAGTGAGGGATCCATGCTGGAGTTGGGATTTGTGACCCTGAGCTGGGATCCCAGTGAGGGATCCATGCTGGTGCAGCTGGATTTGTGACCCTGAGCTGGGATCTGAGTGAGGGATCCACGCTGGAGCTGGGATTTGTGACCCTGAGCTGGGATCCCAGTGAGGGATCCATGCTGGAGCTGGGATTTGTGACCCTGAGCTGGGATCTGAGTGAGGGATCCATGCTGGAACTGGGGATTTGTGACCCTGAACTGGGATCCCAGTGAGGAATCCACGCTGGTGCTGGGATTTGTGACCCTGAACTGGGATCCCAGTGAGGAATCCACGCTGGTGCAGGTAAATTTGTGACCCTGAGCTGGGATCTGAGTGAGGGATCCATGCTGGAGCTGGGATTTGTGACCCTGAGCTGGGATCTGAGTGAGGGATCCATGCTGGTGCAGCTGAATTTGTGACCCTGAGCTGGGATCCCAGTGAGGGATCCATGCTGGAGCTGGGATTTGTGACCCTGAGCTGGGATCCCAGTGAGGGATCCATGCTGGAGCTGGGATTTGTGACCCTGAGCTGGGATCCCAGTGAGGGATCCATGCTGGTGCAGCTGAATTTGTGACCCTGAGGGACAGCAGAGAATGGAGGACCTTGTTGTCCAAGGGATGAACCCACATCATAGAAGTCTATCAAGGACTGTTCTCCCACGGAAGGGACCCCACAGGAAAAACCAGGGGTGGACTCAAAAACCATTATCCCCTGTGACCCTGAGGTGAAGATCCATGGTTATGGTAGCCAAGTGTCCCTTTGCAGTCCATGGAAGACCCTACAGGTCCTGGGTAACCCCCCAGGTCTTAGCCCAGGAGGGGGGTAGACCCCTCTCATAGAAGAGAGAGAGAAAGAGAAAGAATTTCAGCTGCAACAAATCAGAGTCGTCATCCTAGAAGGACTTTGGAGTGCTGCAAAGTTATTTTAAAAGAGCTCTGGAAAGAAAAGAAAAGAAAAGAAAAGAAAAGAAAAGAAAAGAAAAGAAAAGAAAAGAAAAGAAAAGAAAAGAAAAGAAAAGAAAAGAAAAGAAAAGAAAAGAAAAGAAAAGAAAAGAAAGAAAGAAGAAAGAAAGAAAGAAAGAAAGGAAGAAGAAAGAAAGAAAGAAGAAAGAAAAGAAAGAAAGAAAGAAAGAAAGAGAAAGGAAAGAAAGAAAGAGAAAGAAAAGAAAGAAAGAAAGAAAGAAAGAAAGAAAGAAAGAAATGAAAGAAAGAAAGAAAAGAAAGAAAAAAAAGAAAGAAAGAGAAAGAAAGAAAGAAAGAAAGAAAGAAAGAAAGAAAGAAAGAAAGAAAGAAAGAAAGAAAGAAAAAGAAAGAGAAGGAAGGAAAGGAAAGAAAGAAAGAAAGAGAAAGAAAGAAAGAGAAAGAAAGAAAAGAAAGAAAAAAAGAAAGAAAGAAAGAAAGAAAGAGAGAAAGAGAGAAAGAAAGAAAGAAAGAAAGAAAGAAAGAAAGAAAGAAAGAAAGGAAGGAAGGAAAGGAAAGAAAGAAAGAAAGAAAAAAAGAAAGAAAGGAAGGAAGAAAGAAAAAGAAAGAAAGAAAGAAAAGAAAAGAAAGAAAGAGGCTGCTTCTCCTGCTGAAGTGATTCACGGTGGGGAGAGGCATCTTTGTAAATACATAACACTTATACCTAATTAGAATTGCTGTAGATGTAGCTCTTTAGTTTTTTTATCTTGCTAGTAATAAATCCTAATATCATTCTCCCCAATCAGGTCTCCTTTTGTCTGCATAAACCTTCTCTCAACTTTATAGCAATTGGGCGGGGGGGAGGTAAGAAAAATTGACCCAGAGCAAACCCGCGTTGTTTTTGGTGGAGAACGCGGGGCAAAGACTGCCCGGGAGAGGCAGCGGCCGGATCAAAAAACCACGACACCTCCCTCCCCTCCCCGGTACCTGCAGGGCCGTGGAGAATTTGGCGGCCGCCGCCTCGTACTCGTCCCGCCCGCAGCGGGCGAGCCCCTCCCGCAGGGGCAGCCGAAGCCGGGGGTCAACGCGGCTCCAAAAGCCGCCCTCGGGGGGTCTGGCAGGAGGTTCAGGGGCTGCCGGTGCCTCTCCGGGCATCACCGAGTGGCCAAAGTCGAGCTCCTCGTCGGCGCGGAGCAGCTCGGTCTCGATCTCGCCGAGGTTGTGCGCGGGGATGGGAAGGGGAGGGCTCGGGGATGTCCCCGCTCCGCTCTCCGGTGGCGTTCCTGCCTCTGTCCCGGCCAGGTTTTCATGGCTTTCTGCTTTCTTTTCACGCTTTCCTCCGTCTGGGCCGTTCCTCCGCTGTTCCTCGCGTTCCTCTGTCTCCTGCGAGAGAAGGGGCGGGAGGTTGAGGTGACAATTGTGGAATTTAAAGTGATTTTACAGAATCACGGAAGGGGTTGGGTTGGAAGGGACCTCGAAGATCGTCTCGTTTCAACCCCCTGCCATTTTTCCACCATTCCAGGCTGTTCCAAGCCCTGTCTAACTGGCCTTGAGCATTTCCAGGGATGGGGCAGATGCAGGTTCCTTGCCCAACCTGTGCCAGGGCCTCACGACCCTCACAAGGACGGATTTCTTCCGAATATCCCATTAAATCTCTGTCAGCTGAAAGCCATTCCCCCTCGTCCTTGTCACTGCTTGTCCCAGGAGAGCTCTGGTTTGTTTCAAAAAGTGATTTCTGAAAACCTTTTACCTTAAAAAAATCCCTTACCAGGGGATTTTAGCACCAAACAACGCGACATTAGGGGCAATATGTCAAAATTAGTTGCCTTCCATTATCTTGTAACTTTACTGAGTGTGTTTGGATACGTGGATTTGGAACGTGTCAAATAAAATTAAATGACAAAAAAAAAATAAATAGAACAAAATGAAGTCCAAATATCTGGAAGAATCCTTTGACAGTCATGGAGATCTAATATTCCTGGAGATCTAATATTCCTTCTTTACTTTATCCCGGTATGAGGAGGACAGGTATTCTGTCCTATTCCAAAGCACCATCTGAAACACCTCTTCTGATCTGAACAAGAATGGTGTTCATTTACAGAGAATTTCAGTTTCAAAATCCACCAACATGAATTAAATCTATTTCTACACCGAGCACGTTGCTCGTGCTTGGGGCATTTATTGGTTTGATTGCCATAAAATCACACAGAGCCACCTGAAATCAGGTTCCTGATTTAGCTGTTCACTGTCAAAGATGTTGTTCAGCCAGCAGAGCAAAGGAAAAAAGCCTCCTTTGGGTTAAAATGGTGACAAAGAAATCACCTTGCTCGTTCTCAGTGCATTTATTGGTTTGATTGCCATAAAATCACGTAGAGCCACCTGAAATCAGGGTCCTGTTTTAGCTGCTGGCTGTCACAGCCACTCAGCACGGTTGTACTCACCTCAGGGGCTCCAGAGTGAGATCCCTCTTGAGGGGACTCGTGGGGAGGGAACCACTGGTTCAGTCCAGGTCCCTGAGCCTCCTGGAAGAGCACAAATGACCACACTCAGATTGCAGGGCTGTCCCCCTTCGGTCCTAAACACTCCCCCTCCACCCCCACCTCAGGAATTCCAGCTCAACCCTTCCTTCACTCCTGGAGAACCGGCCCAGCAGTTTTAAAAATGGGACAAGCAGGACCTGCTGGAAGATGTCTTGCTGATACAGAACCCCAGGAAGGGAGTTGTTCATTCAACCTGACCCCAAACAGTTCCAGGAACAGGGCAGCCACAGCTGCTCTGGGCATCCTGTGCCAGGGCATCCCCACCCTCACAGGGGAAAATTTCTTCCCCATATCCCATCTCTGCCTGCCCTCTCTTGGTCTGAAGCCATGCCCCCTCATCCTGTCCCTGCAAGTGCCTCTTCAGGTGCTGGGAGGGGCTGGGAGGTTCCCCTGGAGCCTCCTCAGGCAGGGCAGCCCCAACTCTCTCAGCACTCCCCACAGCAGAAGCGCATCAGAAGAGCATCTTCTGGTCATTCCCGTGGCCTTGTCGGGGCTGCCAAGAATCTGGGAGAGCCTACCAAGGATCTGGGAGAGCCTACCAAGAATCTGGGAGAGCCTACCAAGGATCTGGGAGAGCCTACCAAGAATCTGGGAGAGCCTACCAAGAATCTGGGAGAGCCTACCAAGAATCTGGGAGAGTCTACCAAGAATCTGGGAGAGCCTACCAAGAATCTGGGAGAGCCTACCAAGAATCTGGGAGGAACCCAGTGATGTTTCTGGCCATTTCTGAGGCCGGGCTGTAAATTGGGGTGGAGTGAACGCGGTGAAAAGCCACCCCCTCGTCAGTGCCCACTGCCTGCAGCGTGACAGCGGCAGGGGAGGAGGTGTGGGGTGTCCCCAGGGATGCCCAGGAACCCTCCCTTCCCTCCCAGCATCCACATCCAGCACCGAAGCTCTGGAACAGCCAAACTCTTCTTCCCAAAGGGAATCATCCCCCACCCCACCCACCCCACGGGACACCCCAGGCCCACTCAGATTCCCCCTGTGGGCCCAGCTGTGCCGTTCCCACTCACCTGCTGGGTCCCCATCGGCCGTTTTGGCAGTTGTTGGGTTCAGATGCCACGTCCAGGGGGCTGTTGGGGAGCCCCTTGGCCCGGCCCAACTGCCCTGCTGGCCCCCCTCCCCCTCTGCCACCCCCTGTCCCCACAGCCCTGAGGGTCCCCATGACCAGACCCCTCCCCAGACATTAATGGGGCACCCTGGACGCTGTCCGTGCTCCAGAAATGTTGTTCAGGGAAGGCTCTCGTGGCTCCAGCCCCATTTCCACTGAGGTCAACTGAAAACTTCCAAAATCCACCCTTCCTTCCCCTCCTGATGGTTTGTGTGCAGCTGACACTGGGCTGGTTGTCGTGGTTTTGAACCCTGGATGGATTTTAAACACTTACTGAGAGCTGCTTTTTCTCCCCCCTCCTCTCTCACCTTCTGCTCTTCTCTGAGCTGAGGGGAAAAAAAACAGTCAGAGAATTCTTGAGGAGAGATTAAGAAGTGGGATATTCACTTAATAACTAATTCTCACAGGCAAACAGACTCAGAATGGATAGAACTTCAATTTATTGCTAACAAAGTTCAATTTATTGCTAACAAACTTCAACTGAAAGCCAAATTATTGCTAACAGAATAAGGACTAAAGAATAAAAGAATAAACCAGTGATAAAACACAACCATCTCCACTCCCCCCCTTTTCCCTCCAGGTTTTCCCTCCTGCCCACAACAATGCAGGTTGATGAGAAGTGTATGTCGAGGCAGGGGAAGTCACAGTCAGCGGCTTCTTCTGCCCCTTAAAATCCATCTCTTAGACAGGAACTCTTCCCAATTCCCTGTCCTGGGGGGTCACTTTTCCATGGGGTGCAGAGGTGTCTCTCCCTCCCCCTGAGGGTCTCCCTGGACTGCAAGGGGACAACTTGGCTCACCAGTGGTCATCACCACAATTAAAGGGGGGGGGTGATGGCTTCGAGTCCTTCCCCCATTTCCTGTGGGGTCCCTTCCCAATGGAGATGGGTTGATGGGGACATGGGGACACCACAGGGGTCATGGGGACACCACAGGGGTCATGGGGACACCACAGGGGACACCAGGATTGTGGGGACTCCACAGGAGTTAACGGGGACGTAGGGACGGCACTGGGGGCAAGGGGACTTTGTAGGGGACAAGGGGATGGTGGGGACATGGGGACACCACCATAGGGGAGAAGGCAACACCGTAGAGCACTTTGTAGGGGATTTTGTAGGGGACTGTGGGGTCACAGGACCCTGTGGGGGTCACAGGGCCATCAGGGACAGTGGGGGTCATAGGGACATCCTGGGGGCACAACCTGGGGTGCCCAATCTGCCCATCCTGGGGGCACAGCCTGAGGTGCCCAATCTGCACATCCTGGGGGCACAACCTGAGGTGCCCAATCTGCCCATCCTGGGGGCACAACCCTCAGTGCTGCCCAGCCTTGGGACACACCCCGGGGTGCCCAATCTGCCCGTCCTGGGGGCACAACCTGAGGTGCCCAATCTTCACATCCTGGGGCACAACCTGAGGTGCTGCCCGGCCTGGGGACACACCCCGGGATGCCCAATCTGCACATCCTGGGGGCACAACCCTCAGTGTCGGCCATCCTGGGGGCACAACCCTCAATGCTGCCTGTCCTGGGGCACAACCTGAGGTGCCCAATCTGCCCATCCTGGGGGCACAACCCTCAGTGCTGCCTGTCCTGGGGCACAACCTGAGGTGCCCAATCTGCCCATCCTGGGGGCACAACCCTCAGTGCTGCCTGTCCTGGGGGCACAACCTGAGGTGCTGCCCATCCTGGGGGCACAACCTGTGGTACTGCCCAGCCTCGGGACACACCCTGGGGTGCCCAATCTGCACATCCCAGGGGCACAGCCTGAGGTGCCCAATCTGCCCATCCTGGGGGCACAACCTGAGGTGCCCAATCTGCCCGTCCTGGGGCACAACCTGAGGTACCCCCAATCTGCCCATCCTGGAGGCACAACCTGAGGTACTGCCCATCCTGGGGGCACAACGCTCAGTGCTACCTGTCCTGGGGCACAGCCTGAGGTGCCCAATCTGCCCATCCTGGGGCACAGCCTGAGGTGCATGAGGGAGCTCGGATGTGGTGCAGGAGCCGGATGGGGCTGCACATCCTCCTCCCGCTCCTCCTCCTCCTCCTCCTCCTCCTCCTGCGGCTCGAACCGCCCGTGGCTCGCAGTCAGCACATCCTGGGGTGCTGCACAGCCCCCCGTGCTCGTGGTGTCCCACAACCCTCAGCTGGGGCACGGCTTGGGGCTGCACTTCCTTGGGGCTGCTGCTGCACAGCCCTGGGGGCAGAACCCTCGGTGCACAACCCTCGGGGCAGAACCCTCGGTGCACAACCCTCGGTGCACAACCCTCAGTGCTGAACAACCCTCAATGCACAACCCCTCTGTTCTGCACAACCCTCGGTGCACAACCCTCTGTGCACAACCCCTGGTGCAGAACCCACAATGCACAACCCTCAGTGAACAACCCCCAATGCACAACCCTTTATACAGAACCCTCAGTGCTGCACAACCCTCAGTGTACAACCCTCAATGAACAACCCTCAATGTACAACCCTCAACACAACCTCAGTGCACAACCCTCACTGAACAACCCTCAGTGCTGAACAACCCTCAGTGCACAACCCCTGGTGCAGAACCCACAATACACAACCCTCAGTGCACAACCCCCAGTGCACAACCCTCAGGGCACAACCCTCAGTGCACAACCCTCAGTCCACAACCCTCAATGCACAACCCCCAGTGCACAACCCTCAGTGAACAACCCTCAGTGCTGCACAACCCTCAGTGCACAACCCCCAATGCACAACCCCCAATGCACAGCCCTCACTGCACAACCCTCAGTGCACAACCCCTTATACAGAACCCTCAGTTCACAACCCTCAATGCACAACCCTCAGTGAACACCCCCGGTGCAGCAGCCCCAGTCGGGCCCCCCCTCCTTTCCCGGCTGTTGCACAACCCCAGTTGCACAACCCTCGGTTCCCAGCCATGGGCAACCCCATCCCAGCACCCCACACTCCACACCTCCATCCCAGCACCCCACACCCCAATCCCAACACCCCATTCCCAGCACCCCACACTCAGCACCCCAATCCCAGCACCCCACCCTCAGAACCCCAATCCCAGTACCCCATTCCCAGCACCCCACTCTTGGAACCCACCTCCCAGCACCCCACACCCTCTCCCAGCACCCCCAGCACCCCACTCCCATCACCCCACATCCCACTCGCAGCACCCTATACCCCACTCTCGGAACCCCAATCCCAGCACCCCACACCCCCTCCCAGCACTCACTCCCAGTGCCCCAATCCCCACTCACACCCCAGTGCCCCAATAACAGCACCCCACACACCCCTCCCAGCACCCCACACCCCAATCCCATCACCCCCAGTGCCCCAATCCCAGTACCCTACACCCCACCCCCCATTCGCAGCACCCCACCCCCACTCCCAACGCCCCACACCCACCCCACACCCCCCCAATCCCAGAACATCCCACTCCCACTCCCAGCACTCCCCACGCCCCGAGTGGCCCCCGTGGTTTCCGGCGCCTCATCTGGAACCCACAGCTGGTGGAGCTTCAGGCACGGCCACACAGACACGTGGGAGACACAGACACGCGTGGGGAGATACAGACACACGGGGGGGACACAGACACGCGTGGGGGCACAGACACGTGTGGGGATCACGGACACGCGTGGGGAGATACAGACACGTGGGAGACACAGACACGCGTGGGGGACACAGACACGCGTGGGGAGACACAGACACGCGTGGGGAGACACAGACAGGCGTGGGGCACAGACACGCGTGGGGGCACAGACACGTGTGGGGGCACAGACATGTTTCGGGACACAGACACGCGTGGGGAAATACGAACGCGGGGGGGACACAGACACGTGTGGGGATCACGGACACGTGTGGGGGCACACTCGTGGGGGGCACAGACACGCATGGGGACATGGACACCCGGGGGGGGCACAGACACGTGTGGGGGGCACGGACACGTGTGGAGAGACACAGACACGTGGGGGACACAGACACGCGTGGGGGGCACAGACACGTGGGAGACACAGACACCTGGGGGCATGGACACGTGTGGGGGGACACAGACACGCGTGGGGGACACAGACACGTGGGGTACAGACACGCGTAGGGCATGGCACGTGGGGGAGATACAGACACGTGTGGGGGGACACAGACACGCGTGGGGGACACAGACGCGTGGGGTACAGACACGCGTGGGGTGCATGGACACGTGTGGGGAGATACAGACACGTGTGGGGGGACACAGACGCGCGTGGGGGCACAGACCCGTGTGGGGAGATACAGACACGCGTGGGGAGATACAGACACGCGTGGGGGCACAGACACGCGTGGGGCACACATGTGTGTCCACGTACGAGTGTGGGTGCACCCGTGGGGCTGCACACACGTGTGGGGACACAGACACGTGTGGGGAGATACAGACACGCGGGGGGGCACAGACACGCGTGGGGAGATACAGACACGTGTAGGGGGCACGGACACGTGTGGGGGCACACGCGTAGGGGGGCACAGACACGTGTGGGGGGACACAGACGCGTGGGGTCACAGACACGTGTGGGGATCACGGACACGTGTGGGGGCACACGCGTGTGGGGGCACAGACACGTGTGGGGACACGGACACGCGTGGGGAGATACAGACACGTGTGGGGTCACAGACACGTGTGGGGGCACACGCGTGGGGGGGCACAGACGCGTGTGGGGACAAGGACACGTGTGGGGAGACACAGACACACGTGGGGAGATACAGACGCGGGGGGGACACAGACACGTGTGGGGAGACACAGACACGCGTGGGGGCACAGACACGCGTGGGGGCATAGACACGTGTGGGGGGACACAGACACGTGTGAGGATCACGGACACGCGTGGGGGGTATAGACACGTGGGGGGCGCAGACACGCGTGGAGGGCACATGTCAATGTCACCTCCCCTCTGTCCCCCCAAGTGTCAC